TATCATAGACCTTACTTTCATAAGTCATTAATATATAGGGTTCGAACCCACGGCCCTACTATTGTAATGCATATTCATCATAGAGATCTTCTATAGTATTGCTTTTGTATCATTGAGTTTATTATCATGTCACTAATATAAGACTAGTCATTGTGCTACAGTACTTCAGGCAGTCGGGCTCCCGACCACCCCATATATATGTACAACTGCAGGTATGTATCTCCGACAGCTCCTCCATACAAGACTCCTATACATGAACACCTTCCATAACTTAAGAAATTTCTTTTATACATGAACTCCTTCCACAACTTAGGAAAATTTTCTTTTATACATGAACTCCTTCCAAGACTTAGACAATTTTTAACAAATTTTCTAATTATCTTATAAATGTTATTTATCTGTATTTTTATAATATTTTAGACTTGTATTTATCTTATTTTAAATATTTTTTCAAGTTTTTAATAGATTTATTTATTATGGAAGACAATATTTTTCCTTTAATTTAATATGTTATTGGTCTAATGTCTGAAATGTATTTATATTAACTTTATGGGTATTAATGTAATTTTATTGTTTAATATATATTTTTAAGACTATTTTTGACGCCCCTTTATATTGAATTTAATTATTAATAATAATATTGGGCCGTCACAATAGTATGCTTTAATTATACATAACTTTCTGTATCTGCCAACTATAATATTGTTACGCGCTCAAGTCGACAGCACTAGCGCCATCTGGTCTCGAACCGAAGAACTAAACTTCTTGAAATTGAAACACGAACTCTCGGTACCTTGCGCGTGTTTACTTGAATATTCTGGATATTTCGCTGCTAATTTATATAAATAGGCGCTGCAAAATGCGATCGAGGAAGTATTGGATTCGGCGAGACAAGCGAAGCTTCGGAGCGAAATAAAGTGAATGAGTGTGATTAATTATTAGTGTTTTTAACTTTAATTAGTGTAAAGTGAATTAAAGTGTTAATTTAGATAATTCTATCGGCAATTTTTATTGTCACGAACCTCAAGCTCGTAACAATTTGTGTCAGAAGTGGGATTAAATCATGCCGATTTTACCTAAGGAGGAAACGGAGGGTGTCCGTACCCGAAGTCAACGCCAGCAGGAGACGGACCAGAGAAGATTTGGTGGTGCAACGCCGCAGACTTTGGAGGGCCAGCCGCAGGCAATGGAGGTCGGCCCGTCAGTAGCTCCTGCATCTGCAGCACCTGACTTAGGTGCTCTGATGGTGATGCTGCAGCAGCTGCAGCGCGGACAGGAGGAACGGGCCCGCCGATTGGAGGAGAAGCTGCGAGGCGGACAGGAGGAACAGGTCCGTCGTTTGGAAGAGCAGCTCAAACTCGATAAGGAAGAGCAGATGCTCCTCATGAAAGATATTCACGCTACCTTCGGAAAAGGGATACGGTAGGTGAAAGATAAGGTTGCTCAACATGACAACCGCCTGTCGGAAGCTGAAACCCGATTCGACCAAGTGAACAATCGGGTTGACAACGTAATGGCTGACATGAAGAAATCACTGGACGAACTCAGACTTGGGGATGGAACTACAGCTCCCGTAGTAGCTACTACACCTTCGCTACGTGGGTTCAAGGTGCCACCGTTCGACGGGACTTCTTCCTGGTCAGCCTATAAAATCCAGTTCGAGGCTGTTATGAAGGCGAACGGCTGGAATAAAAGTCAGGCCATGACTGCTCTCACACTAGGCCTGCGCGACCAGGCCTTAACAGTTCTGGAAGCTCTCGATGAGGAAGTGACTTATAAGCAACTCCTTGAGGCATTGGAGGCGAGATATGGCGACGCTCACCTGGAACACGTCTTTCGTGCGCAGCTTAAAGATCGCGCGCAGCGCATCAACGAAAACCTGCAGCAGTGGGCTCTTTAGAGGTGGAGAAGCTGGTGCGAAAAGCATACCTACATACATATTGAAGGGAACCTGGTGCAGACATTCATCGACGGCATCCGCGACCTGGAAGTCAGAGCTGCTGTGAGGCTCGGGCACCATGAGACGCTTAAGGACGCCTTGGCCCATGCACTGGAGGTGGAAGCCGTGCGGCAGGATCTTCGCTCCCATCACGTCAGGGAGGTTGCAGCAGCTACAGTTCGCGACCGCAACAAACGATACCGCCCTAGGTGCTATGGCTGTAGGGAAAAGGGCCACCTTCGATCCAGCTGCCCTAAGCGAACCCTAGAAAGGGAAGGTGAACGATCTCAGGAGGGTAGTGCGGCCAACACCACCGCCCAGCAGCAGCAGGAAAACGAGTAAAAGCCAGAACTGCGGGGCGGGTGCTGGCCTGATGTTAAAAGAGCCCCAAGGATCTCGATCTCACAAACTCATGATGGGAACAGCCTAATTATCAAGGGCGAGGTCAACGGAATGCCGTGTAAACTGACCATAGACACTGGAGCCTCTCGTACGGTTGTAGTTCCCAACTAATAAGTCAGTTCCTTGGGGACTCCGCATACAACCGAGAATGCATTAGTTTGGTAACAGCCACCGGTCAGCGTATACCCGTCCGTGGAGAGAAAGAGATGGAGTTGAAGCTAGGCAACATGATCTACCTGCATAATGTCATCGTGGCTGATATAATGGACGACTGCATCCTGGGCCTAGACTTCATGAGGAAGAATTGTTGTGCGATTGACGTTAAGCAAGGTGTCTTGAAATGTAGACAAGAGTAACTTTTTGTGGAAGGAGCGTTACCAGGGAACGTGTACAGCCTTGAGAAGATTGTTCTTCCGCCGAGATCGGAAACGATTGTGCCGGTTAGTCTTCCTCGGAATCCTGGGCAAACTCATCGTTGTGTACTCGTGGAAAGGTTAGAAAATGACCTTCCATGGAAAGTGGCTCGAACCTTGGTCAGAACCACTAAAATCTCCGGAGTACGTGTGCTGAACCTTTGTGGCCAGGAACATATTATAGAAAAAGGCACACTGGTTGGTACTTGTGAGGAAGTGGATTGGTAACGTCGGTGCCAATATCTAACGACTGGGCCCCCAGCAAGGATGCACAAACGAGAGTGAGCACATTTTTAGAGGACTGTCGCAGCGTTCTCTCCCCGAATGAAATGGTCAAAGCGAAGAAGTTGTTACTCAAGTATGGCGATGTATTCTCATCAAACGATGCTGACATAGGAAAGACTGGCTTAGTTCAACAAAAAATAAACACAGGCGAAGAATTGCCTATCCGACAGCGGCCAAGAAGAGAGGAAAGGAAGTGGAAACCATGATTGAGGGAATGGTGAAGGATGGTGTTATTGAACCTTCATCTAGTCCATGGTGTTCACCCGTGGTACTGGTAAAGAAGAAGGATGGCAGCATGCGGTTTTGTGTTAACTACCGCCGTCTGAACGACGTTACTAAGAAGGACAGCTATCCCTTGCCAAGAATTGACGACACGCTGGACATGCTTACAGGAGTAAAGTGGTTTAGCACACTGGATCTAAAAAGTGGCTACTGGCAAGTTGAAATTGACCCTAATGACAAGGAGAAAACTGCGTTCTCGACGGGAAAGGGTCTGTGGCAATTTAAAGTAATGCCGTTTGGGTTGTGCAATGCTCCAGTAACGTTTGAAAGGCTGATGGAAATTGTACTTACCGCTTATTTACCGCTAATTGGCGATGCCTGTCTGGTCTACTTGGATGACATCATCATCGTGGGCCGTACGTTTGAGGAACACCTTCAAAACCTGGAACGCGTGCTCATGAAGATTCAGAGTGCCAACCTCAAGCTGAGTCCGAAGAAATGTTCACTATTCAAACGGCAAGTCAACTTTTTGGGGTATGTAGTGTCGGAAGAAGGTATCCGCACAGATCCAGAGAAAATCGCCGCTGTCAAGTATTGGCCGGTTCCAAAAGACAAGACGCAGGTTAGAGCATTTTTGGGTTTGTGCTCCTATTACCGGCGATTTGTGAAGAACTTTGCAGATATAGCCAAACCTCTGCATAAGCTAACCGAGGAGAAGCGACATTTCTGCTGTGATGAAAGCTGTAATATCGCATTCCAGGAGCTCAAGGACCGTCTGTGCAAAACACCTATTTGGAATACCCTGATGCAAGCAAAGAATTTATAGTTGACACAGACGCAAGTGATATAGGACTTGGCGGTGTGTTGTCTCAACGGAATGGTGACCAAGAGGTCGTGATAGCGTACTTCATCAAGTCGTTGTCAAAACCGGAAAGGAACTATTGTGTCACAAGACGCGATTGCTAGCTGTGGAAAAGTCGTTGCAGCATTTTAGCAAATATCTTCTGGGGCGAAAATTTCACTTACGAACTGACCATGCTGCACTAAAATGGCTATTGCAGTTTAAAAATCCAGAAGGACAAGTTGCGAGGTGGATTGAACTACTGCAGGAATACGACTTTGAGATCGAACATCGCAGCGGGAAATCTCACGGCAACACAGATGCATTGTCAAGAAGACCTTGTCCTGAAGATTGCAAACATTGTACTAGGCAAGAGAGTAAGGAAGTGGTATCCGTGAGGATGCTCACGGCCGACCACCTCAGCAACGAGTGGAAGGACAGCTTTCAACGTGCACAGCAGGAAGATGCGGCATCAAGCCGATCCTGGAATGGATAAAGGCCAGTGCTCCCAAACCCAAGTGGAACGACGTCTCAGCGATGAGTTCGACCACTAAAAGCTATTGGGCCCAGTGGGACAGCTTGCTGCTTCAGGATGGAGATCTGTGCCGTAAATGGGAAAATGTTCGGGGAGACAGCTGCATTTACAAATGGTTGTCCCTAAAGCTAAAGTACCGGATGTTCTACAGCTGTACCATAATGATTATTCAGGAGGCCATCTGGGAGTTAAACGAACTCTACTGAAGCTCCGAGAACGGTTTTACTGGGTCCACTGTTGAAACGTTGTCGAGGACTGGTCTCGCAAATGTACAAGTTGTGCTAACTGTGTGTGTAAGCGTTGTGTAAACGGACCTCAGACTCGTAGTAGAGGTGCATTGAAGTTGTACAATGTCGGTGCACCATGGGAGAGAATAGAATAGTGGCGGGTCCGTTTCCGGAGAGTGAAAGCGGTAACAAGTATTTCATGATTGTGATGGATTACTTCACTAAGTGGCCAGAAGTTTTCGCCATTCCAAATCAAGAAGCTTCAACAGTTGCAGATAAACTAGTTCATGAAGTCTTCTGTCGTTTTGGAGTACCTTTAGAGATTCACAGCGATCAAGGAAGGAATTTTGAGTCTCAAATATTCCAGGAAACTTGCCGAGTTATGGGTACTCATAAAACAAGAACGACTTCTTTTCACCCGCAATCTGATGGAATGGTAGAACGATTTAATCAGATATTGGAGGGGTACCTAGCAAAAGTTGTAGATAATCGGCAACGAGATTGGGACAAGCACATACAACCGTTTTTGTTGTCATATCGAAGTGCTGTTCACGAAAGTACAGCAGCGACACCAGCTTTCGCAAACTTTGGAAGAGAATTACGGCTACCTGCAGACCTGATCACCGGGATACCACCTGATGCTCCACGCAGTATAACCGATTATGCAAATGACTTGCGGAACAAAATGAATGACGTTTATGAGCACGTCAGACAATCGGGCCAGCAAATGTCTGAAAAGATGAAAACCCGGTACGACCGCAAAATGAACAACAAAGGGTTCGACGAAGGTTCACTTGTGTGCAACCACACGTGTGAGATTGACGTACCAATTGGTGTCAGAAGTGGGTAAAAATAATGCCGATTTTACCTAAGGAACAACAAAGGGTTCGACGAAGGTTCACTAGTGTGGTTGCACAATCCAGTCCGCAGCAAAGGGAAATCTCCTAAGCTTCAAGCTATATGGGACGGCCCGTACCGGATTGTGACCAAGATCAACGATGTAACCTACCGGATACAGAAAAGCGCAAGAGGGACACCTAAGATCGTCCATGTGGATCGCCTGGCGCGTTATTATGGGGCCGATAATGCTCGGGACGAGCATGTCTTAGGAGGGGGCAGTGTTACGCGCTCAAGTCGACGGCACTAGCGCCATCTAGTCTCGAACCGAAGAACTAAACTTCTTGAAATTGAAACACGAACTCTCGGTACCTTGCGCGTGTTTATTTGAATATTCTGGATATTTCGCTGCAAATTTATATAAATAGGCGCTGCAAGATGCGATCGAGGAAGTATTGGATTCGGCGAGGCAAGCGAAGCTTCGGAGCGGAATAAAGTGAATCAGTGTGATTAATTATTAGTGTTTTTAACTTTAATTAGTGTAAAGTGAATTAAAGTGTTAATTTAGGTAATTCTATCGGCAATTTTTATTGTCACGAAACTCATGCACGTAACAATATCTATATTTCTCCCAGGGTTGACTGGTAGGGAATGTATATGGCATTAAGTCCACCCAATGTTACCCTAAATTTAAGATCAATTTACAATAAAAAATATTTAACCTTTTTTGTAATAAAGTAGATATTTTTATCTAAAACTTTTATTTACATTAAAATATGTATTTATAATAATAATAAAAAACTTATTATTATTTCTGGGCATATATTATATAAGCAGTTTACAATTTGTTAAAACTTCCGTCGAATAGTTCCTACCACGGCGATGCGAGGAGCGTTCGACATGTTCCATGTGGAAACATGCCCTCGAAACATTTTTATTCCTCAAGCACGCAGTTTTCTCACGATGTTTTCTTTCACCGCCGTGCGCGTTCTAAGTCACTTAAAATTTCATTTTTCGTTAATACCGATAGGGATCTAATCCGCGATGCTCGCGTAATATTTTTGCTCAGGTTTTGCCACTCGCCATATATGCCTATTACATATAGCCCACCTGAGCCACTCACAAAGATTTGCAAAACTAGTAAAAGTTATGTTGTTAAAGTTTTCATTACCAAAATTTTTCAAAGGATTATCCACTGGCAACGTTTCATGCTCCTGAACTCATTTTAGAAACTCTCTTTATTCTAACCTATTATATACATGTTCAAAAATATCGGTAATGGCCAACATCAATGTTTTTGTAACTATAACCTTACATCCACGAAACCAAACAAACTATGACAACAATATTTGTGTATATAACAAAAAAATTAAGTGTCTTTCTAGAACATGGAAATAACTGGCTTCTTTTGAGCTATGGGGGTTATTTTTCTTCTTTTAAATTATGACTTCTCTTGATAGAATTCTGCCAGTGTCAAGTCAGTCATATACGGGTACAGATAAGGGTTATTAATTTTATGAGTGCGTTCACAATCTACAACAAAAGACGTCACATATTTAAAATGCCATCTCCAAAGTAGCTAAGTAATTTTACAGTTTAATATTGAAATAATACTAGATTTTTCGAAATTTATCGCGTATATTTAACTTTTTAAATACCCGACGTTTCGAACGCTTTACAGCACTCATGGTCACGGGCGGGACTGAGATGTTTATAGTTTAATATTATTAGTATGAATAAAAGCACATAAAATATTTACGAAAGGAGTATACATTAGGGTCAGCAAATATTGGAAATTTACTGGACATTTTCTTGATAAATTATGTCTGTCGACTGTTAACCGACTGTAATGAAACTTCACGATCAGATAGAAAGGAATATTAGGAGCGATGAAGTGTATATTTTGTCCAAAAGTCGTGCTAGTTTTTTTCTGCGAAATCGCAAAACTGATAAAATAAATGGATTTTGATGATTATTTCATAGATATTAAGTGATTTAAAAAGTTTTAAACACAACTGTTCGGCTTGTAATTTTACATAAAAAAGGTCCTTAAACTTTATCTGTTGTCTCCCATAGTTGGTGCAAGCCAAGTTTTTTTTTACTTTAACACCAATTTACAACAAAACTAATAAATAATATAGGATTGGTGAGATACCATGAGATACCTTTTCCTCTTGAAGTTAATGTATCTTCAATTAGTAATTGAACCATTTTCCTATATCACAAAAAGCAGGTTTAATGTGGGTTTTTCGATAGTTAACTACTATACTAACTACTTCTCCAAAATCTACTATTATAGATTTGCAAGTGTAAGCGGACGGAGTCACAGGTAAAAGCTAGAATAACATTAATGAAAATGGAATACTGAAATTACTACCCGACCGGTCGACATTTGACCTCCACGAGTTTAAAACATGGTCATTGGCCTGTGTTCGACACTAAACTAGAATGAGAAATAACTTAAACATTGCCATTACTAATGATAATGCGATAGCTATGTTTATCAACTAGTCCTATTGTTCAACGAATGCATTAACCCAGTTACCGTTGTTTGTAAAAGCTCTATTCGTCGACAGCAAAGCTTAAACTTGCACAAGGAACTATCCAATTAGTCTTGTACTGAAAGAGAATGGGTAATAATTTAAGCATTAAATTATTTAATGCGATGGACTATTTGCTTATCTTTACTTGATGTTTTATGTGTCTAAATATTTTGCTGATGACGATGGTTTGTTGTTGTCCGACTTTGAATCTTATCAACTCATATCACTGCCTACTAAGATTAGCGATTACGGTAAATCCTATTCACTATGGCTATGGCGCTATACATTATCCGCTCGATTGCTTGCGAACAAAAAAGGGTAGCTTAGTGTGCCAGTAATCTGGACTGTGTTTCTTGCGTTCGACCCGCCGTCAATAAAACTTAATTTATGACTTACTCGACAGGAGCACTTCAAATATTTTAAATTTTATGAATAGCCATTGAAATAAGAAATAAAAATACATATGTTATTCTATCAAAATATTATTACAATAATATTTTAGAGGTGTTGAAATCACAAGTACAAGCCATTTTATCGACTTTTTGTAAAACATCGGGTTTATCAAAAAATAAGATCGATAAGTGTATGATTATTTATTATATCCTTAAACTTAATGAATTACTTGATATATTTATCTATATTTTAAAACGATTTATATTTAAATACATAGTAAAAATATTAAGTGAAACACGATGAAGTATTCACGGATTGTGCAATTGATCGCGATTTGTTAGTTACAATCTAGGCTGTTATTACATAAAAACTTATATTATAATATGATGAACAATTTATAAAACTTTATTACTTAAATTTAATAATTATATTTAAATACCACTACGACTATTTCGTATTAAAAGAATACAACAATATTACGATAATGCTATAGCTAAGCTATAGAAAATTACGTTTAGATTCGCGTCATTCTGATTATTTTTAAAAGTCGACTTTATCACATTTTTCATACACTATTTGCAAAAATATTACTTTAATACAAGAAAACACTAATAAGACATTAAGTTGATATATAAATACTAGCAAAAATCAATAAAATTCAATACTCACGGCATATTTTATCACCTCGTTAAATCCACTCAAGCGTCACTTCACTCATTAAAGTTTAACTAACAGTTTCAATATTTTTCGTCCAAGAGGTTGGTAATTTTGATCCAAATTTTATGATATATATATATATATATATTGTTTTTGGTTTTAATATGTAATAGTTAGACTCTGTGCGTTTAAAATATGGTCTAAATTCAATTAAAAGAACTTCGACGCTTTGCAACCACGGTTGCATAGAGCAAAGTTAAGGATTCTGTTTTTGCAACTGTGGTTGCAAGAAGCAAACGAGCGGATATGGGACATGTCTACCGGTGTACATCCATTACAGTCTTAAAAGACCACTCCCATGGGAGGGATAGATTTTGCCATATTTGCTACGTTTCGCAGACGGTTTGGGCGACCGCAAGTTTTTATATTTATTATTTTCAGTTGTTAATAGGAGATGTTGCTGTCCTTCTCCTGTTTAATTTGACTCTGTGGCCTTTTACGACACTTACGAGACGATACGGAGACGGGCTGATTGGTTTAAAAAAAGATTTATTTAACACTGAAATTTAATTACAATTTAAATGGATTATACATTAGAAATGGATTAGAATTTAATTAAGGTACGTAGACAATCGAGCAGGTATAAAGATGAAAACAGATTGAAGCGTCCGAACTGCTCCATTGCAATACTCACTGAAATGGAACCGTGCGGCAGAAAACAAGCTTCAGGATGCCGATAGTTTAGGTAATTTCTTTTTACAGTGAAAATAATAGTAATTTAAAAAAAAAACATAAGCCCTGCTTTATACAAGTTGGCCCATAAGTCGTTAGAAATGTAAATTTCGAATAAAATACAAAAGGCGCGCATTAGTGGCGCGCGCGGTGCGGGGGGAGTACTGACGGTTTCTGGGAATTCAGTCGCCATGGAGCGTTTCACCGGTGCGGACCGTGCATTTTGTGTACGCGAGTTTTATCGAAACAATGATTCGGCTACCATTGCGCGGCGTAAATTTCGAGAATATCAGAATTTACGCAACTTTAAAGACATTCCAAGTGTTCAAACGATTAAGAACTGGGTTATTAAGTTCGAAGAGAGTGGTTCGACGTTGGATAAACAACAGTCAGGTCGACCAAGGACATCACGGACGGAAGGAAACATCGATGTAGTGAAACACTCAATTCGTGAAAATCCTACCCAGTCTACTCGTAAGCGTTCCGCAATAAAAGTAAGTGCAATAAACTTACCCAGAACATCGTTACAGCGAATTTTAAAGAAAGATTTACATTTTCACCCGTGCAAGATTCAGATAGTACAGGAATTAAAAGATACTGACACTATCCACAGACTAAATTTCGCAAATGAAATCTTGAACCGCTTTACTTCGTTTAATAACGTGTTATTCTCTGATGAGGCTCACTT